CCCTTAATAGATACTCCAGAGAAAAAACTCAGTTCAGTTTACCAGGATTATTACAAACCCCTTGTTAACTGAGGGTGAATTAATGAAAGTAATTTTCATGCTTTCCAAGTCAGTTATTTCTAATTCAACTATGAAAATAAGCAAGTAGCCTACACATCTGCACCCTAAAAGAAATGTAATAAATATTGCCTCCCTTGTCTTTTTGCATTTATCTTAAAGGGGTATCTTTTTTCTGTTAAGCAAGTGCCAAGGGGGTGGAAATGTAAAACTAGACGACAGGAAATTATTAGACCTGGCTTTATCTCTACATGTTACATTTTATCATTTCTTCTCAATACACAAAGAAGCGAATGTGTGCTCGAACAGACCTCTCCCATTACTGGCCTGGCCGTGCTGAGCAAAATTGAATCCATATGTCCTTAAAATGCTTTTCCATTTCTACGGCTTCTTTCAAATTCCTGATCGTGGTGCAAATGTGGCCCACTAGCCTCCTAATGTTCATTTGCTCTTTCCCAACAGGCATCACCGTTGATAGGCATGGATTCATTTACTTTGTGGATGGGACCATGATTCGGAGAATTGATGAGAATGCTGTGATCACCACTATAATCGGCTCAAACGGTCTGACTTCCACACAGCCACTGAGCTGTGACTCGGGAATGGACATCACTCAGGTAGGCGCCACTGGTTTTCAAGCGTTCTCTCCATTTGGCATTATGGAAATGAATAATCATTTTCTCATACAGAAATTAGGTAGAAAGGAAGCCTGGGGTATCTGTTATAACATCAGATGGCAGAAGTTTCTCTTTATGTAAGTTACTTTTTTCCTCCTCAGAAAAACTCAGTTGGGAGAAAATGGCAAGCTAGGATGGGAGTAATGCTAGATGGAATGTTGGCGTAAGAATTAAAGTCGCTCAAATTTGAATCAATTAGAGGATAAGGCCAATCTCATTTATTAGTTTCCTAGATATATAATTTTATTATTTTTAAATAACACAGTACTTCGCATTTGAGAAAGTACTGACTAAATATTTTTAAATGACTATATGAACATGACTTGTTATTTATGTATCTGTAAACAGCTATTTCTAGGGCACTTGAAAGTTTTCTTAAGTAACAGCATCATTTCTTCTGCGATCTATTTTACATGTATTTAGGAAAGCTTTATGCCAGTGAGAATAAATGGGAAAATCTAGTGTAGCTCTCGTCTGAATCCACAATTCTGATTTTACCACAATTCTACAAAATCAGGATTAGACATGTAGAGAGATTATAGAGCATACAACACAGACCCAGCACCCTAGGATGAGCTTCTCAGTCTTCAGACACAAGAGGTTGGTATTTAAAATGAGGGAAACAGCCCTGGCCCGTGTTGCTCAGTGGTTACAGCATCTCCCCCTGCACTGAAGAGTCTTGAGTTCGATTCCCAGTCAAGGGCATGTACCTGGGTTTCGGGTTCCCTCCCCCTGCTGGTCTGGGGTGTGCAGGAGGCAACCAACAATGTGTCTCTCTCACATTGATTTTTCTCTCTTTCCCTCCCTCCCTCCCTCTCTCTCTGTCTCTGAAAAGCAATGGAAGAAATATCCTCGGGTGAGGATTAACAAAAAAATAAAATAAAATAAAATGAGCAAAATAGACCAGACATCCTCAGAGGGCCTTTTAAGTCTAATATTCCATGAATCTGTGACTCTAATGAAGTAGATTATTGGATAATCTTTTCAAATGAATTAGAATAGAAATTGAGGGTTTTAAGATTGGTTGGTGTATCAGAGAGGATGGTTTTGATGACAAATTATAAAACACCTATCTAAAAGTGGTTTAAACAATAAGGTTTCATTATCTCACAGTGAGATGACCAGAAGTAGGCAAAGATGCCGGCAGATTTTCTTCTTGTGTCACAATAGCCAGAATTGAGTCACATGCCCATGCCACCACCAGTCACTGGCAAAGGGGAAACGAGATTTCCCAAATGGATTCAGGCCCTTTGGAACTGGGTCACCGTTCCTGAGCATATTGCTACTGAGTTCTTGAACCAGAATCAGGGTTCTGTTGGCAAGGAATGTAGAATTGCTGCTGGGTGCGCAGCCCACTGTGGCCTCCATGGTTAGGATAGTCCTATTGCTTTGTCACCCAGGCCACCCGAAACTTAGCATAACTAGGAAAAGGAAGTGAACACACCACCCAGAGACCTTGCTTCAGTCATCAGCTCTAACGTCCCCTCCCTTCTCCAGTTGCCAGGCATCCACAGCTCTATAAAACACTAGAAATTTGCCTATTGGGGTTACTTCTCTATGTGCCCCAGCCTTATTCAGAAACTCAGAAAATAGTCAAATAGAGTCAACTATAAAAATAAAATAGGGCCCGGCTGGGCATGGCTCAGCGGTTGAGCACCGACCTAGGATCCAGGAGGTCGAGGTTCAATTCCTGATTAGGGCACAGGCCCGGGCTTCGGGCTCGATCCCCAGCAGGGGGCGCGCGGGAGGCAGCCGATCAATGACTCTCATCACTGATGTTTCTGTCTCTCTCTCCCTCTCCCTTCCTCTCTCTGAAATCAATAAAAATATTTTTTAAAAAAATAAAATGGGAATTGGGAGGCCTGGAAAACAGACAAAATGAATGAACCATTCTTAAGAGGGATTTGGGTGGATCAGGCTATCGAGTCCTAGAGCAATCTAACTTTCTATAATGCAAAATCCAGCAGAAGGCAAGGACAAGGAACATCATTTATGGCAGGAAGGAAGGGTGTGAATGTGTTTATATGGAGGAGGGGAATGAAGGAGAGGAGATACACATATATGATTCACTGGTGGGATATTTTTAACTTCGAATAGCACGCCTAGAACTGCAATCAGTCAACTCAAAACAACTTATGTTTCTGTGTGGAAAAGTTATGCTGAAAAGAGACTTCTTCATCTTAAATAAAGCAAACATATGATCCTCATCACCATGAGAAGGGTTCTTTTTCACATGACACTTTGCAAGCCAAACTGCCACCATGAAAGCGACCTTGTCCCTTTCAGGTTGAGATAATAGAGTGCAGCCCATTGAAAAGGGACCCTGGTAACCAGGAAAGAGAATCACATTTTTCCTGTGACGTTTCATTCCAAGCCTCAGTTTCCATGATGCCCCCATCCCTTTTCCTTACATAAAAGATTTAGAAAAACAGTCATTTGGGGGGTGGGAGGAGTAAGCTTCATGTCTAGATCATCCGGCAGCTATCTCTGCTGCTGTCCATCATTTCCTGTCCTGCGCTTAAAGCACCCTAAAGAGTAACTAGACTTTTTCCTCTTGGGCCGGCAGAGAACATTGAGTCCATACTGACCTCTATCTCAGCATCCAGATTATAATCCTGCACCTTTAGTAGGTGCTCGCTTCTCACGGCCCCATCCCCTCAGCCTGGAATTACCTCTTCTGGTCCAGATCCCACTCCTCACCCTCCTCACACCTCATCTCTTCCATGGGAACCTTCCCTGATGGCTCTAGTCCTCACTCCTGTGTCACTCTCTTACTGAAAGTTAGTATCACCACGTTTAATATGTAATCTGTTCTCTGTTACCCAACTGTGTATCCAACTAGTCTCCCAAGGTGGGCCACATGTTCTTTGGAAATGCATATAAGTGCTCAGCAGGCACAGTTACCATATATACCGATACCAGAAGGACACTATGGTTCAAAGAATACAGAGAAGTAGTGAGAGATGGATGAAGCTACAGAGCTAAGGGGGAGCATATGGTGAAGGGCCGTATAAGCATGATAGAGTTTCAGTTCTATCCAGTGGACAGTAAGAGGCCAATAATAGCATTAATCAGGGAAATGCATTTTTAAAATAATATTAAGCATGGGAATGCATTTTTCAAAGATCATTCTAGCTGTAGCATAGAGAATCAAATGGAAGAAAACAGTGTTAGAGGCAAGGAGATCACTTAATAGGCAGTGGAAGTAATATAAGTGTGACAGGGACAAAACATATCAATATATAAATGATTAGTACCTTTTCAAGAGCCTTCCCTACAGATTAGATTGCTTTCTAATTTTGGGTTTTTTGGGGGGAGCGATATTCAGATGATATTTCTTTGGAATACAACTCTGCGATGACACTGACCATGAAGCTGCTCAGCTTTACCTAGGTTACATAGGAAGCAATGACAACGGCCAGACCTAAAGTATCAGCAGTGTGGAGTGACGAGGCTAGACAGGCCTGGCCGGGCGTGGCTCAGGGGTTGAGCATCGACCTAGGATCCAGGCGATCGGGGTTCGATTCCCGGTCAGGGCACAGGCCCGGGTTGGGGGCTTGATCCCCAGCAGGGGGCGTGCAGGAGGCAGCCGATCAATGACTCATCATGGATGTTTCTCTCTCTCCCTCTCCCTTCCTCTCTCTGAAATCAATAAAAATATATATTTTTTTTAAAAAAAAAAGGCTAGACAGATTGGTGAAATATTGGAGGTAAAATCAAACAACTTGTTGACTGACTTAATTTCATAATAAAGGAACTATGTGTCTGCTGGTACCGTTACCTGAAAAGGTTACAAGAGAAGGAGAAGAAGGTGTGGGTGAGGGTTGGATCATGGATTCAGTTCGGGGCGTGTTGAGTTTGAGGTGCCCATGTGCATCCAGGTAAATATATTTGGGAGGCAATTCAATAGAGGCCTAGAAAGCTCAAGGCTTGAAATGGAAATAAGATTTGAGATTATCAGTTTACACCTGGTAATGGCAGATAGTGGAGTGGATAAGATTTTCCAGGGAGGCTACATAGCATTAAAAAAAATTTAAGACCAAAATCCTAGGAATATCAGTATTCAGGAGAAGGCTGGGGAATGGGAGTCCGCAGAGGCGACTGAGAGGAAGAGACCTGACAAGTGGGAAGGAAATCAGGAATGTATGTGGTCAAAAAAGCCAAGGGAAACAGGCTTTCAAAAGGAAGGGAATGGTTAATATCAAATGCTGCTTAGAGGTCACATAAATAAGGTGGTTTTTTAAGAAGCCATTTAGTTTGACAGCATTCGTGACTGATAAGAGTGCCTTTGGTAGAGTGCTAATTAATTGGAGTCAGATTGCAGTGGTAGTGTAGGAGGTGAGGAAATGGAGAAAGTGAAAATAAATCACTCTTTT